ACTATAAAAATGATGTATGTATAGCATTTAGCATGGTGTTCAGCACAGAACAAGGACTCTCTAAATAATTATTATTCTTTGTTATTGTCCCTACTTGACCAGAATCTAAACCTATGTGTAAGAATAACAGTACAGCCACAGTCAAAGTAGAAAGGAGTCTTTTTGGCTTCTTACTCCACACATCCATTGGGCTTCCAAGACAACCCAGCCTGAATTTCAATGACCCTTCAGTAACCTCCTGCCATGGACCCCCTTCATGAACACTGTCCTCTTGCAAATGTGTAGACTGAATATGAGGGCTAGGGCCTGAGCTTCTCAAATGAGCCTACTGCTTGAATAGATTAGGGCTTATGCAGCCAATGATCCAAATTTCCAATACGTTTCCCTGATGCTCTGCAGCATTTGTCTTCTTCTTGGAAGAACACGTTAGCAAGATGGAAGATATTCAGGCTACTTATGAATGTATATATTCCACAGTCCCCTTTATTAATATACAAATGATGAAAAGCACTTTTCTGGGGAAACACAGGGGAGCTGGGGCCCTGAACTGTTGAAAACAACATTTCAGGAATTTTGAAAGCCATTATTAAAAATTAATTTATGTAAACATCTACTAAATTATATTAAAAACAAAGTTAATAAATATTCAGAGCTCACCAGCGGTAATTATTTAGCTATAACCTATGCTTTTGAGCTTATCTGTACCCATTGTGTCTCTACGGTGGAAACACCACGGTCATTACTGTCATTACTCCTCTCTTTTCAACTCCACATTCAGTGATGCTACCTCAGCGGCATGAAGTCAGCCATGATGGGAAAACTCACCCCATAGAAACTGATAAAACACTACAGATCAAGGCTTGATTTACTCTTTGTTGATTGTGTAGATCTTAGAAAGTGATGGAGAAAAACGCAGATTGCACTTCAAAGAATGCTTTGACAATAACAAGTAAGGTGTGAATAGCACAAAAAATTGAGGGAATATTCTCCCAGAATTCAAAGAACATTCTCTGATTGAGTAAATAAGTCACTCAGATCATTGAGAAACTATTGAACTTCCTACATAGATCTTCAGTGTTCTATTTTCTCATTAACTTAAAGGAATATATCAACCATCATTCATGTCGGAACAACCTCTTGCTCCTCAATCAAAGCCTTAGGCTGGCTATGAATACAAGAGTTTAACAGAAATCTACAAAACATTCTGTGAGATTTAATTAACTATATTGAATTCATGATAAAGAGTATTGTATATTTTATTATTATTTGGAAATTATGTGATATGAAGTATCCTTCATATCAGTAGTAATTTATAATAAATGTGTGTGTGTGTCTTCTGGCTGTATCTGTATCAATTTTTTTTTTTTCAGAGGGAGCTAGTTGTTAACCATTTATGAGAACACCACTTGCATAGAAAGTTCAGGGCTTGGCCACTGTTGCACTGTTAGTCCATGGAAATGCCAAATCAGTAGGGATTAAAGCCAGAGAAGTGAAGCTTGAAGACTGAAAGACAAGAGGGTAGAGTGAACAGTGACTTAAACAGGAGGCAGACACATGAAAAGGGACAGAGAACAAGGCAGGATGGGAAACTCGACAGCCAGAAGAGAATGCGATAAGGGATGAGATTGTTTCTGATTTCACTCAGAAAAGGAGACCCCAGACTACTCATTGTTCTGGATACATTCCTAAAGGTACCAAGCTACACAGTGGAGGAGGAGCCTGTGAGTTTAGGAGCTTTGGTGAGGTCAAGAGTGAAATTTGGTTAGGTAAGCTTCCAACTCGAGGAAATTGGGGAGAAAATATTGCCATTTCAGGGTGTAATTTTTTAAGTACAGTAATTATTAAAAACATAGCAAATTCCATTCTGCAACTTTATGTAATATGTCTTGGAGACCCATTCTTAGCAATTAGGCCCTTCAATCCCAACATGCTATCTATTCTCAAGCCTGTTGTTCACATTCATGACATACAATGTTTCATGCATATATTTTTCTGATTTTAAAGGCAATTCATGTTCATTGTAGAAAATTGGGAAGTTATAGAAAAATTAAAAATTTAGTTAATGTCATAATTCAGAGATAACTACTGTTAATATTGGACTATTTCCTTGTGGATATAGGTGTATGTATGTGTAATATATATACTGATATAAATACATATGCTCACATATATGCATAGTATATATTAGCATATATGGATTGCTTTCATTTGATACTACAGTATATTATGGGCCTTTTCATTTATTCTTAAAATTTTTACTTGTTTATGTTATTGTTTGTATAGAAAGAATGGCAGTCCTTTGTTGTATTTTCTAAAAAAAATTATGTGTGTCAGTTGCCTTTTAAAGATGACTGTGTTTGTGTTACTGAACTTAGGTCCCACTGCTTTCTGCTCAAAAATAAATGAGAGAGAGAGAGAAATGTTGGTAGAAAGGAAAGTTGCTTTTCATCAGAATGCCAGCAATCTGGGGAGATAGTGGGCTCAGGGTCCCCAAAAAGCCATCTCTGAAGATTCTGCTCAGCCATGAAAGTTTTTTTTTTTTTTTTTTTTTTTTTTTTTTTGTTTGCTGTACATGGGCCTCTCACTGCTGTGGCCTCTCCCGTTGCGGAGCACAGGCTCCGGATGCGCAGGCTCAGCGGCCATGGCTCACGGGCCCAGCCGCTCCGTGGCATGTGGGATCTTCCCGGACCAGGGTACGAACCCGCGTCCCCTGCATCGGCAGGCAGACTCTCAACCACTGCGCCACCAGGGAAGCCCCCGTGAAAGCTTTTAAAGGGAAAAAGGGAAGTAATCTCAGTTAATCACTGAGATAGGGGGGTCAGAGTTGTTGCCATCTGCCACTGTGTGCAGGCTTGTGGACTTCTGATTTTTCTTTAGATGTTATCTTGTTCACACAGTTTGTTCAGGAGATGACTGAAGGGGAAGCTAGGGAAGAGATCTGGTCGTCTGTTAATTACTTACTCTTCATTTCTACTGCTTTGATCTATGGAAAGAACCAATACATTAGGCAAGGTATTGTGTGATTGGAAGATTTGAAAGGTGTGCTTGGGGCAGAGAAGAGTTGAGCATGGGGGTGCCTGATTTAAGGTTAGTGTCTAGACAAAAGGGCCTCCTGCAGAGAGCTCTTTCCTGCCAAAAGCTGTGTATGAATGTGTGTTCTTGCTTTAAAATTTATTCTAAAAGTTTAGATAGTTAAATTTATTGATATTTTTATTCAGACTTGCTTTCTTTCCTTTATGCTTATAATATCTTTCCAGAACTCAAAGACAAAAAGAACCACAGAAATTACCCCTTATATATAATGTGTATATACACATATCTGCATATGTATATAATCTTGAATCCATGTGAAATTCAATTTTCTGTATAAAGTAAATATCTAACTTAACTTTTTTCTCCTGAGAGACTAGTGAATTTTCTCAGCATGTTTATCAGCAGAATGTATTTTTAGGTAGAATTGAATTTGGCTTTTGGAGAGCCCTGAAGGATAGTGGCTTAAATCCCCTGGAGGGCTTATTAAAACCTAGATTGTTGGGCTTCTCCTCCAGAGTCTTTGATCCAGTAGGTCTGGGGTAGTGCCCAAGAATTTGGATTTCTAACAAGTTCACAGATGATACTGATGCTGCTGGTCTAGGAACCACACTCAGAATGACTGATGTAAAGGAGTAAAGGTTTGCTGAATATTGATGGATAAGGAACTGAAGGCCTGTCTAGAGCTAAGCCACCCAGGCCTGGCACCTTGGTTGTGTAATACCTTGGGAACTCAGGCTCCTTGAATTTTTTTCTCCTCAGTCCTTAGATTGGGGCTTCATATGCCTGTGACTGTTCCATGTTGCCTGGGAGGAGGAGGAATAGTCTCCACCTATATCTCCCCTCCACTACTCCCTCTTCACCCCTTTCCCTCAAGCTTCACGTAGGGATTTCTGTTTACAGGTTACCAGCTAGAACTGTCACGTGGCCACCCTTACCTGTAATAGCAATTTGGACATGTAGATTTTTTTTGACTACCTACATTTTTATCCTGAACGAAACTGGATATGGCAGCCATTTGTGTGTTCCTTGTAATTTCAGTGGCCATGTTTCTAGTGTTTCATCATTAAGAAGTTGTTGACTTATCATATTAGAGAGATATCTTACTTTCCTTCCTCACTTATAAGATGCTATCAGGCATAGGCTCTTTATGTGATAATGTTTTCCTTATTTGGTACATCAATGTAGCTGAACTCATTGCATGAGCACATGGCCTAATACTAAATTGTCATTGCATTTATGCTTGATTATTCTCTAATAGGCTATTAAATTTGATTGCGTATATTTTATTTCGATTTGTCCATCATTTCTCATTAACTAAATTGGTGTGTTGTTGACTTCAGCATTATATTTAACAAGTTTTTATATCAGGGTTATTCTAGCTGAAAAAAACCTTATAGAGTTTACACTGTGTCCCTGGGAATCTACTAAGTTGTGGTTTATAAGAATTATCCAATTTAAATTTCACAGACATTTTATGAAGTTTGTACTGTTACTGTTCTCATTTTATAGGAACCTGGGTTTGAGACGGTCATCAAATGTCACCTATCTAGGAAATTCTAAGCCTCTTATTCCCCAGACTAATTCTTAATTTATTTGGTACATGGGGAATCCATCCATATTTTGTTATGTTGTAGAATAATTTACATTGTGTGAGAATTATTAATTTCTTAGAAGATTAAAATAATTTATCCATAAAGTAAACTGAGATTTCCATTATCTGAGTCTATAGTCTTTGGGGGAAGTTATTTAATCCTAACTTAAAATTTTCCTTAAAGCTTAGATTTTCAATTTCTTCCTTGTCATCGAGATTGTTAATTTTATTTATTTATTTAAAAAATATATTTTTATTTATTTATTTATTTGGCTGCATCGGGCCTTAGTTGCGGTGGCACGCAGGATCTTCATTGCGGCATGTGGGATATTTAGTTGCAGCATGTGAACTCTTAGTTGCGGCATGTGGGATCTAGTTCCCCAACCAGGAATTGAACCAGGGATTGAACCCAGGCCCCCTGCATTGGAAGTGCAGAGTCTTAACCACTGGACCACCAGGGAAGTCCCAAGATTGTTAATTTTATTTATGTAGAATTGAACACAATTACACAGATGATAATTATCTCCATATTCGACAAAATCTCTTTTTATTAGATTTATTAAAGAATTATAATTGCATTAGGTTTTTCTCAGAGAAGTAGACCATGGCTTTATCTATCTTGTTTTTCCTGTTTTCTAATTTACTATCTTAACATAGCCATCGTTACTTTCTACCTTCTATTTTCCTTAGAATATTATTGTAGTTGTTCCTTTTCTAATATCTTAAGGTAAATGATTAGTGCATTTTCTCTATTTATTTTGCTAATTGAAAAAATTAATGCAAACTTTTGATTCTATCTATTTTTAAATATAGATTTTGGTTGAATGCCTTACCTTTTTATATGCTATTTTATTTTGCATTTGACTTTATTTTTAGCCAGTGGTTATTTGGGAGAAATTATTTTAATTCCCAAAGGATTAGAAATATTTGTCTGATTTTTTACTATTAATTTTTAGTGGGTTTCTTTTTGTTATGCTTTATTTTATTTCATTATGATCAAAGAAAGTGGCCAGTAAAATATCCATTTTTTTGAAGTTTACTGAGATATTCTTTATTTCTAGAAAATGAAGTAATTATATTTTTCAGACACTTTAAAGAAAGTATTGTATGTTTGTCATAGATCAAAATATATGTCACATAATCTATCTTTCTTAATTAATTTTTCATCATTAAATTTATTTGATGTTTTATAAACTTATAATAATGGTTTATAAAGATCTCAACTAAAGTCATATTTCTGTCCATGTCTTCTATTTTTATCAATATGAACTTTGATATTTTTATAAACTGACACATAATTCCTAATTCTTATATATCTTTTATATCTTATAAATGCATCCTCTTTATCCCATATATGCTTTTCTTTTTCTTTCTGGGTATTTCCTTGTCAATATAAATATCACTGCTTCTGCTTTTTTAACATTTTTTGGAAATATTGTTGACCATCTCATTCTCTTAAAACTCTTAAAATTTTTGTTTTAGATATTTTTCTTACAAGCAACAGTTGGATTTTTTATAAAACTAAATCTAAGCATTTTTTTCTTTTTCTTTTTATTAAAAATTTATTTATGTTTGGGTGTGTTTGGTCTTTGTTGCTGCGTACAGGCTTTCTCTAGCTGTAGCAAGTGAGGGCTACTCTTTGTTGCATTGTGCAGGCTTCTCATTGTGGTGGCTTCTCTTGTTGTGGAGCACGGACTCTAGGCACACGGACTTCAGTAGTTGTGGCATGCAGGCTCAGTAGCTGTGGCTCGCGGGCTTAGTTGCTCTGTGGCATGTGGGATCTTCCCAGACCAGGGATCAAACCTGTGTCACCTGCATTGGCAGGAGGATTCTTAACCACTGTGCCACCAGGGAAGTCCCAGCATTTTCTTTTTCTTAATAAGGATTTTTAAATCAATATCCATTAATTGTTAGAATTAATCTTTTTTATCTACTCTTGAAATTTTTATATTTTTCTAAGGTTATGCTTCTTGTTCTTTTTCTTATTATCTATCTTTTACTGGATGAACTATGTACTCTTTCATTTGTATTTGCTCCAGAGATTTGGAAGATATAATCCTGTTTTCAGTTCTATTTAGGGGTTATAGTTTAGTTAAAAATACAGAAATCTATCAATCTGTAATTACTCATTCAGCAAACTTTTTTTTTTTGAGTGAGTTTTGTAACTTGGGCATTATTCCATACCATGGAATACCATAGCTGGCAAATAATAAATACATAAATAAAAATAGTACTGTCTCTACCTTCTTGAATTTTACAGTCCAGAAAGTAAAACATGTATTTACCAAAGAATTACACAACAGTGTTATAAGAGTCAGAGTTTGACCAGAGAGATAGAACCAGTAGAAGATATATATTAAGAAGTTCCTTGCAAGGAGTTGGCTTACTTGATTGTGTGGGCTAGTTAGGCGAGTCTGAAATTTGTAGGGCAAGCTATCGGAAAGGACAGGCTGGACTGTCTCAGGCATGGGCTGAAGCTGCTATCCACACACAGAAATTTCTTCTTTTTTTTTTTGCGGTACGCGGGCCTCTCACTGTTGTGGTCTCTCCTGTTGCCGAGCACAGGCTCCAGACGCGCAGGCTCAGCGGCCATGGTTCACGGGCCCAGCCGCTCCGCGGCATGTGGGATCTTCCCGGACTGGGGCACGAACCCGTGTCCCCCGCATCGGCAGGCGGACTCTCAACCACTGCGCCACCAGGGAAGCCCGAAATTTCTTCTTCTTTAGGGAAACCTCAGCTTTGCTTTTCGGGCCTTTCAGCTCCGTGAATCAGATCCACCCAGATCACCTAGGATAATCTTCCTACTTCAAGTCAACTGATTATGAACTTGAATCACATCTACAAAATATATCCACAACAGCACTGACATTGAATAACTGGAGACTATAGCTAAGTTGGCCCATCAAAAGGACCATTAAAATGTAATGTTATAATCATGGCAGTTTATGAAGAAGAGGTACATAGTATTAAAAGAGTGAACAAGATGGAAACAGTTGACTTACACATGGAGGCCAAGTAGGCCTTGGCCCCTTCATTGTCTATCTTGTTGCTTAGTCCAAGACTTTGTAAACATTTGGGTGTTATGGGCCCTGTTGACTTTGCAGGTTGGTTAAGACTTCATAGCTGAACATGCTGACTACTGTCTTAAAGGGAATGGTTTACCTCATTTATGTGGACCCAAGTTATCTTTGAAGTGTGCCAGGCCAAAATAAATCTCCCTTTAGATGGTTCTGAGAGTGTTCTTTGCTTTAAAATGTAAACAAAGGCAAACAGATACTCCATTATTAACAACAAAAATGTGTCCAGCCTTCAAAAAAAGCATTTTAAGACTTTTCTGTGAAATCTAATGAACTTTTGTATAATTAAGAACTTAATATTATACCTTCAGTTCTTGACAAAACCTCTTGAAAAGGTAGTAAATTTATCCCTGGCATTGATAAAATGATTTTCATTGCAGATGACAATCTTCATATAGGATGTAGACAGCACCTTGGTGCCAATGTAGTCCAGTGGAGCACATAATAAGCCTCAGTACTTTGTGTACAGCTTCCATCTTCACTGTAGAAGTAAAAATAAATGTGTGGTTAATCATTGCAGGAACTCCATCTGCACCTTAGGTACCCAGATGGTCCATCCAATTGAAGTTTTGTTCAGCAAATAAACTTTTTTACCATTTCAAAGCTGCTGGTAGCTGTTAGAGTTTTCAAAAGATGTTCATAAACTAGGAATTTTTCTTGAGTGACATCAGTGTGGATATTCTGGACAAAAACCAGGAGATGGCTGCCGAGACATTTCAGGTTCAAATTACATCCTGAATATAAAGAGAATAACTGTCAATTCATCCCTGTCCTGCTTTGAAATGTTAGAAGCAATTCTGAAGCATTCTCCAGCAGTTCTGGAGTGGATAAAATTATTTGCCAAAGACACTGCCTCATCTTTTTCCCCTTCTCCAAGACATAACCAGTCCCATCATTTTCAGGGCACATGGCTCTACTTATGGCCTCCATAGCTATGAGAATCTTCTTTTCCTTTGTCTGGATTTCAGTTAGGCAAATTTGGAGAATGCTGCTGACAAGCATGATGTGTTAGAACTAATCTAAGTCTTGGTAAAGTTCTACTCTTGGTATCTTGAACTTCCTTTTTAGGCAAGTATCTATGCTGATGTGTTGTTATGATGGACTGCTGTAAATTTTTGCTTCAATCTTATAATTCTCACGTTTCTCTAATGAGAATGTATGTGTTTCCTTGGGTACTCTGTGCTTTGGTCTTGAAACCACTCGAGGCCGGAATCAGCAATTTTTAAAATATATATATATATACAAAAGAATGCAACTCTAATTTTAAAAATCACTGACAAAGAAAGTGATTTATTTCTGGGTCTTTTTCTTCTCTCTCCTCACTCTATTTTCACTAACAGTTAGGCTATTTATTTCAAATTGCATTGCCCACTTAGCAAAACAGCAACAAAAATTCCACCCAGCCAAACAACAGTCTGAGGAAGTCATAGCTTAGAGCAGAGTGTTTACAAAAGATGGCATGTTGAGGATTGCCATCACCATTCTTTCTGAAAGAGCATTATTTTTAACAGGAAAAAAAAAAAAAAACCTCTACTGGACATTGTGCTCCACCAAAACAAGAGAATAAACCAAAAAAGAGAAAGTCTTAAGATTCAGAAGCAATCTAAATCAGGAGATGAGTATAGGGAATTCCTAAGATAATTAAAAAGTGATATTAATGGTACAATTAAGTTTTTGTGTAGATAAAAGTAGAATGGAAATTCTCAGAATGGAAGACTTCAAAAATAAAACATTGAAAGAGAGAGATTTCTTTCTGGTGAAAAATTATTCCAACTATTGGCAATGTATGGACAATTAGCAATACATATAAGGAAAAACTAAAGAAATGAAAACAGAGAGGTATCTGGGTTGCCAGGTGGCCTGGGCAGGAATTTCCAATTATAGCAAAATAATAAGGTTGGTAAATCCTGTCTTTCCCAAAATAAGTATAAAACTTACAATTTTTTTTTCAAAAAAAAAAAAAAAATCAGGGCTCTGGGAATCAAACAAAGGCAAAAAATAAATTGAAAAGTATAATATTTATTAGTAAAAAATAATTGCTGAATTTCAGGTAAGAGCAGTAGAAGTCTGTGCCATCCTTTCCTGGAGCTATTCCCATCCAGTCCTTCAGCTCATTTGGTATGGTATTTGTACAGGGTGAGGCTAGCTACAAAACCAGGAGGGACTGCTAAAGGGGCTGACTTGATTTGGAGGGGAGGGCAAAAAAACTCACACAAAGTAGTATTGCCAGTAATAGCAGTAACCTTGATAAGAAGAGAATGATATAGGCCACAACCCTGCAATGCAAGCCTGAGGTTGTAATCCTGGTTGGAGTGAGTGGCAGACCTATAATCTAACCAGAAATTTAGCAGGTGGATTCCAAAAATTAGACAGCTCTAGAAGAC